TTCAAAATTATTCGTAATAATGACGTGTGAATTGAACTGAATAAGCATTTAAATTGATTGGTATATTTTGTTTATTTATTCTATAATTTCTAATAAATCTCTAGGGACACGTAGTTTTCTTTCATTGATAAAAATCTCAGTTTAATAGTTAATTCAACTTAGTTAATGAGTTATAATTAAGTTTTTGTATTTTTGTTATAAAAAACTGTGTATTATAATTAAGCTTTGTTTGATATTAGCAGAGAAGACTGTTTGTTTATTTCATTTCGTATTTGATTAGATACGTCAAAGTTTAGTTTCTTAAAAGATTAGTACCTGGATGACTACGCTTTACTTAGCACTTTTATGAAATAAAAAAAAATTAACCAATTAAATCGAATTATCGCATATGAAATCCCCGCATACTTAATGTCGTGAAAATTGTTGGAGTCGTTTCTGAGATTATAATATAGTAATTGCTCTTTTAAAGGTTTTGGATAAAAAATACAATTGCGTCTAATAATTTTAAATACATAAAACTTTATTGAAAATGCCCGTAAAAATAAATGTTTATTTCATAATATCTATATTTTTTCCTAATTTATTCAAATATTGTGATTTGAATAAATATTTAGGTAAAACAGTAAACACACAAAAATGACAATCTCGCGAGACCTCGTAATTGGCGAGATCTAGCGGTATTGATATTCATAAGCTCGCGAGATCTGGCCCGAGTCCCAATCTCGCGAGATTGCATTCCCTAGTAATCTGTGATTCCACCATGAAGACTTGTAACCAACAGTGGGCCATTGATAGGCTGCTGATGAAGGTGATGACGATATTCCAATATAAATATCGTGATGGATTTTAGAAGTTTGTTCACAAAAATGAAACTATTATATGTGGTACTCTAAAATAAAACTCAACTCATAAGTTTATATTTCCAAGTAACGTGACTAAAACCTTCACACACGCCGTCAGTAATGTAGAGGTGTGGAGAATATTCCGCGCAGGATTGTAGCTAAACATGACTCCATATACATACCGATGGATGGCTTTACCGATTGCCAATTGGATTGCAATCATTTTGGCACTAGATCAAACTAATTTATAGACTCCTCCTCCTGTTCATTATCAAATTTTGTTGTATGTATAATAGAGCCCACGAACATGAGTTGCTTGAAACATAACAATGACACGCGAGAATTTTAAGCTATTGTTGGAGAGCGTTCGGCCCGCATGCCTGTCATCGAAAAATCACCAATACACTATTTACTACCATATTATTATAATAAAGACCACACCAATACGGCCTTGTGTGATTCTGTAATGCTGCTCTGTTTATTGGTGATCTACTACGTAACAGAAGAATAACAGTCGTCTATCACTTTAAACGTTGCAATCAGAGGGAGAACAAAGCGGTAATATATTACCTTCACACTCTACATGAAAGGGCACAATAAAACCATGTTTACTCTATCTAATCACCGCATATTGACTTACAACCCTCTTACCTAATTTCATAGATCTAAAACCATTAGAAGTAAAACGCAATACCGTTTCTATTATCTCTAAACTCTAAGAAGTTCCTATGATCATTGGCAAATTTACACTTTTTAATCGGTGCACATTTAAAATACCTACCTACATTAGTATTTTTTGTGATTGTTGAAAGGTATCCAGTGTTTTGCCTAGGGCGCCAATTTTTATTTAGCTGGTGCTAATTATACAAATATACAAGAAGGAAAGTGTGTAAAACAAAATTCTTAATTGCTGGTACAGCGGTTGAAAAATGGACTGCAACTTTAATTTAATATGGTATACCAAGAACATAAACTATTGACAGTGGCAATAAAGAGACCATCAGGTGCCATGTTCTCAGTGATGCCATTTCTATGTTTTCTCAGCCCATTTTCAATATTCAAAGGCTTCAAAATCCTGTAAAACAAATAGACAAAAATGCAAAACTTTTCAAAACAAAACGCATTCAAGCGGGAAAAACCAACATGTTATGTTGGTTTGCCCGGTTTGCACGCTTATCTCTCCAATACCTTACTTCCGATCTCTTTCATCTTTATATGGAATTGATGTTCATATAAACGACCTACATAGTTTTCTGGTGTTAGAAATTCAGTGACATTTATCTCAGGAACAGTATGTAAATATATAAATAATTTAGCACCAGAACTTGTCACAGAGATAGCAACACTGCATGTTCTTATTGCATAAATCAAATCACCCTTTATGCTAGATTGAAAATGGTGACTTTAAGTAAAAGTGATTCTATTTAGTCCGTCAATCAGATAAAAGAAAAATATTAGGTACCTATTATTTTTGTTTCAATTAAAAGAAGACTAGGCATTAAAGTTGAGGAGTGGGGACTTGCTACATCACAGTTTTGTAGAAAATGTAAAAAAAAAATATTCATTACGAAAAAAAAAGTCGTATTTAATGTAAGTCATCAGCCCTATTGTAATAAATTATTTTTTAAACTAAACGAAAGTGATAGATTCGTATATACATAGTATGTTGTGTGTATGTGCTTGTGTGCATGTCAGTTTACTATCTTTATTTTTATTTTTCGATTTGATAGTTTAATTTGTGACTGGATAGCGGTATGTAGTAACGCCGGACGCGCCGATGACTCCAACCCCATCCATGTGACTGACAGATGTTGCATATTCTGAGATTGCCGGAGTCCACCGCTCAAAGACGTGATTCACAGATCAAAAATAACTGTTCACTTCATGTTGGTATGTCTTAAGAATTCAGAAAATATGTCATTTGTGCTACATGGTATTCTTTTATCGACTTGGTAACGTTTTAAAAGAATAAATGACTCAATCTTGTTTAAGTATTTAATAAATTTTCCACACCTACACATTTTTTTGCCAGAAATTCTTAAGAGACAAGGTCTAGAATGTTTTAAACGAAAACATCGATAAAGTTTCGTGTATATTATACCAAAAAATTTGGGAACATTTTCTATACTTATTCAAGTAAAACATTCAAGGTAATTTAGAACTAACAAAATTTATATAAATCTACTAACAAATTGTTTTATTAACGAATAGTTGTGTTGTGTAACTATTCTGGAAACTATCGGCGCATCTGGTGGAACAATCCAGCGTTTTTTATTTCTATTCAATCAGTCTCGCGCTTCTCTCCTCGATATATTTGCATCGACAATTTTAGAATGTTACATTCTATACATTCCTATAGAATAAATTTATCTTTACCAGTACTTTACTAAGCTGGAATTATTCTGACACTTAAATACCTATATGCGGAAATATCTTGTTTATTAATTGCCGCTTGGTTTTGTTTTATACACTCTGATTTTGATAAAAACCGTTTAAAATCTGTAGTGTAGTTAAAAAACTCTAGTATAGTTCAAAATCCGAAAGGAGGATTTTCTATGTTCAAGGAGTATGTATATTTTTTTATGAAAGTAGCAAAAGTAAGTATGTCAATCCATTTCTTCTTGAATTGTGCACAAATTTCTATCAAACTAGCTGTTTCCCCGCAACTACGCCTGCATAAATGTCCAATGCATATTATGTAGCTTCCCGAAGATGAAAGACTTTTATAAATCTGTCCAATAGTTTCGGAGCCTATCCAATGCAAACAAACAAGCAATTAAATCTTTCCTCTTTGTAATATGAGGATAGAATTATTTTAAAATATTATTTCGGGCAAATAAACAAGATCTTTTTTTCCTATATTTTCACTGTGTTGAATATTTTTATTTATACTTATAGATCTATATAGTATATACCAATATTATATAGAGAAAAGATTTGAGTTTTCTTTATAATGTATCATTTTAATTATTATATATCCGTGTCATCATGATATGAATCGATATCCAAATAAACAGTTCCCTGGGGACCACACGGGCGAAGCCGCTGGTTTAATATTTTTAGTGTTACAAATTATTAATAAAAAAAAAACAATATCACTAAAAAGAAATAAAAACTTTAAAAAAATAAGACCTACTTCAAACTTTAAAAAAGTGACAAATAATAGGTACCTACTTATCCCATCAAACCACAACATGTGCAATAAGGCACAAATATCACAACGCAATTTTTCTGCCGTTAAAAGTTATGAAATCAACGAAAACTAAGTCGATTAATTCAGAACCTATCTTTCTGTGAGGGCAGCTATCCAATTTTGTTATACACTTAGGATTACTTAACAAACGCACACAACTAATAACATCTAAGTATTTTTAAACCAATAAAACACAAAGCCAATAACTTTAGATTGACTTATGCATTTTTGTACATGTTGTTTTTGATTGGACCTCACAAAGCCGATTGGAAGGTATTAACGACTGCAAATGCAGCAGGGACCGATGGCTTAACGTACCTTCCGACTCACGGTATAGCTCGAGATGATAATTTATTGATTACCCATCCCGTGACCGACCCTTGTGAAAGTTGATTATCAACAATGACGGCCCGCTGTGGCACTTATTTTCTTGAAAAAGTCACTTTTGAGATAATTATTATTTATCACTTTTTAAAAGTTGGAAGGCGTTTCTGTTTTTTTTTTAAGTTTTTAAATGAAACTATTGTTGAAATAAAAGTTATGATATCGGAAGCTATAATGCTTCCATTATCATGATTTTTATTTCCGAAACACTATATGATAAGAGTTGTGTTTGTATATTCATCATCATCAGCCTATTAATATCCCCACTGCTGGAGCTCAACCCTTCCCTATCGAATCAAATTGAGTAGAGAGAATGGCCAATGACCTACCTCGCAGGCTCAGTGCGGGTTGGTGATTTTTTTGCGCGCTTTTTGTGTGGATTGGTGTGAATAAACTACTGCAGATACAGCCGCGACCTCCGAAGCACGGAGGAGTTCAACAACGTATTTCAGATGAAGCCTGCTAACCACTGTATAATCGAGCTCTTCTTCTTTTTAGACTTAGTTTGACCGATTTCAGAATCGAAAAGGAGTTTATATATTTGACGGCGATGTTAGTATTTTATTACATAATAGTGTTACCTGCGAGTGTCGGCAGCGCGGCCAGCAGCAACAGCCTCGCGGTCACTCGCGCGCCACACATCGCTCTCACTTCACTTATAGTTACACTCACTCCTACCAATATAATCAATAACTATTATTATCACTCCTTTTAGCGTCCACTTTAATGTCTCTCACACTTTCATCACTTTTTTTCACTTTGTTAATGTTTTACTTAATATGATTCTGGTCAAATATTTGCACAACTTATAATATACATGATGTGTCCACATATCGGCCACTGTCTGCCATCATCGTCTGACACAGGACATGCACAGCGTTTATACGACATCGTATTCTTCAATCGGGTGTATCCAAAACTGTAAAAAAATGTAAACTTAAGGTTAATTTATACCTACTGTAATAATATTCAATACTAGTGGACGCCCGCGACTTCGTCCGCGTGGAAGTCGGTATCCCGTGGGAGTGAGAAGTTTTCCCAGTAAAAAGTACCCTATGTGTTATTCTGATGTATAACCTATATTGCTGTAAAGTTTTATCCAAATCCGTCCAGTAGTTTTTTCGTGAAAGAGTAACAAACATCCATACATCCATACTTACAAACTTTCGCCTTTATAATATTAATAGGATAGGATAGGATAGGATGCGTCAACGTAACGTTAATTGTTTCAAACCTTATTTACCAAGTTATGGATAAAGATTATCAAAACTTCTATAGTATAGGTTATTTTAGTTGACCTTTTAAAAACAAGTATGAATATAAATTAAATTTCATTAATATTATAATGCGCTCTGCGGCCATAAATAGTTTAATTAACATCGGTCAGAGTTCGTGTACGAGATAGGGATCACACAACGCAGCGGGCGCCTGCCGGTCGCGACCGAGGGCGGCGAGGGTCGACTCATTTCGTAAAACACTTAAAAATTATAATCACGAGAATACATCCCCTTTGCTGTCATTCTCTGGCCCCTGCCCCGTGCACCTCGCGTGGGAGCCAACCATCACTTCACACACAACACGCGCTGCGATGAAACGACGACAAATATCATTATCCGATACTCCCTATATTTATAGCACCGTTTATTGGAGCCATATGTTTGATTTTTATCACAAATCGACTCCGCCCTACGTATTGAGCAATTTAATAATGAAATAAACACAACATACCTACTGCCTAATAGGCTATTTGAGTTGGATATAGGCTTTGATTTTTTTATAGGTTTCATGGTGTTCTAACGAAAGAAATACACAGATCGGCGGCCTAAGAAGCCAACCGCTTTGTTTATCAGGGTTCTTCCTGTCCTACAACAAATAAATGTATCTCACCGTTTTTAACTTTATCACTTTAGTCATTTTCGTGTACACATGACTGTACGTCAGGCTAACAAAATATTGAACTCAAAAATCAAATGGAGAAATTTGACTGATTTTTATAGACTGTTGATTGTATTGCATTATATACAATTATTCTATTATCTTTTACGAGATATGATACCTGGGGCTGGTGAATTTTTTAAACATTTTTATTAGAAACTTTTATTTTAAAGCAATTTGTTTTTACTATGGCATTGTGAAACCAAAATTGATCAAATATAATTTTTCTAATGTTAATGACTTTAAAAGTTCAAAACAACGTATTTTCGTGTTTGGACTAGGGTGATTTGCTTGATGTTTGCCGGACACATGATATATATAGCGTATATTTTTTGTTAACTTTTACACCCTTTTCTTTGTAATGTAGCGCCTCTAGGCACGTGCCTAGTTTGCGTAAAAGATAATCTTCAGATGACTTAGCAATTTTATATTTCATACATATTGCCAAAATCAACTACTTATAATGTGTGATATTCTTTATGTTATTATGTAGGCGAAAAAATGGCAACTTGCCATTATTAGAGTTTAGATATCATATACATAAATGGTAATGAAGATCATTGTAAGTCATTTTACAGGTGGTATGCACGCATCTACTGAACCTTATCACAAGCATTCGCCAAGCGTATTTGCTAAGATATTGTATTGTCGTATGGCTTATGCTCAGCAGTAGGCGTCTCGTAGGTTGTTGATGATTATATTGATTGCTAGATTACTTACAGCTTGTTTTGCTTTATCAATTAACGTCAGTTAACTAACCTTAGATCCATGGTGCTGACATATGTGTTACTACTTCATAAAAGAATAATGACTGAACTATTTTTCGTATAGTGGACCGGTTTTTATCGATGTTTGTTTCTTTTGTTGGTCACGGTGGGAGGCCGGTACCAGCCGATGGTTTAGTTTGGACGTAAACCTTAATTTGTTTACTAATTTATCAGATACTACTTGTTTACTATCTCTGTCAATACCTTCTTTTTATTGCTACTGCATGAGTAATGATGTGTTCCCTAAGGGCTGTAGTTAGAATAAAAAAAAAATATATTGTAATATGGATATGACTTTTTATATTATTCTTATTAGTGTCAAATAGATTTGAAATAAAATAAAGTTGGACATGAAGACACTTCTGTGCTTTATTAGCGTCCGCGTCTTATTAAACATGGCGCATTCAGTTTAAATAAAAGTGAAAATGTTTAATTAAATAATAGTAAGTACAGTGCCGTATAGCGCCTAAACCGATTTAATTTGATCATGGTTTAATTAATTTAATATAATTATTTTAAGCTAAAGCTGGAATAAATAAAGAAAGTATTTTAAAATATATTTTAATGCTGGTGGACTGGGATAAAAGACGATGGACATTCAAATAAATCGTTTTGTTATTATTATACACTGCGCCCATAGATTATTTTATAGTGCACTTTTTTATGTGATGTCATCATTTTTTTTAGAAGTCAGTTATCAAGAGAGCTCTGCACTTTATCAATCAGATAATATAATATTCGTTATAGTTTTTTCCTTCTATTCTCTAAATTATCTATAGAATTGAAAACGCAGTTTTACAGGATTCAAACTAAATATAGTTCGTGCATCCACCATCTGTCTCCTCAGAATTATAAAGTTATCGGCCACATCGCATGAAAATACGGACACAACTCACAACCTGATGTTAATAGGCAAGGTTGAGAGCAAACGACAAAGAAACTGCAGCACCATAAGATGGTCATACCAAATCTGATCCTTCTTAGAAACCAGTCCCTCTTTCAAAGAAAATAAATTTAAAAACTAAAACCCGACTACAGCTAAATTTGTAGAGCGTGATTTAGCTCTGGTCAGGTTTTAATTTTTGAATTTATTTTTAATATTTCATTAATTTTTCGGGTGTAATTAAACAAAATCGCAAGCAAAAGCTTTATGCTAATTAAGTTCTTTCATTGAAAGGCTACATTTGTAGTCGTTAATACCCGCCAATCCGCATTGGGCCAGCGTGGAGGGTCATGGCGCATGCTCCTTAACCATCCATAAGGAAGTCCTGAGCCCCTGCAGTGGGGACAAAATATAGGGCTGATGATGATGATGATGACGGTATGATTGAATAAAATATTTTTTTAGTTTCTTACTTTATGGAAAAATATAATTTATTTAAAGTTCGTTATCAAAAGGTTTCACACGTGTTTTGCCCAAATAACAAGAATATTTAGCGAGTGTGCGTGACCAGTACGGTGCGCAGGCGCATGTGGCAAGAATCACTGTTTACAGTGTTATCATGGGTCAAGCGGTGTAGTGTAGGCGCGCGCCGCAAATAACCCGCTAGGACAGGAATATCCGCGCAAAGGTTAGGCAAATATCGTTACAGGAATACCACCACGCACATAAGTACACTGTCGATGTTGACCACGCGACATCCAACCCGTTAAATATAGATGGATGCTAAGCTGTTTATTTGCAGTTCAGTTAACAGCACCACGCTCACATGCATGATGCCTTATAAATTACTAGATTTTAGTTATCTCACATTATCGACTCTATTAAGATTTCTACAACCATTCCAAAGGTGAAATATAGTTATTGTTTCTCAAAGTTAAACTATCTGTAAGAAGAAAAGAGTTGTCAACTTAATTTATTGAATGGTTCGTAGTTTGTCTTAGCAAAAGTACTTTATAGGTTTAGATTACGATGCTCGTATAAAAATATGCAATATGTAACTACCGTGTACATAGTTTTTGCTTGCCATGAAATTTAATTTTTAATTAACTTACCAAATGTGCATATGTTACCTAATACCTCTACAGTACTTCAAAAAGCACCTGCCGAATTCAATAGAAGCTTCTTGAATATATTATTATGAACCTTGAGACTTGAAGATTATTTTTCACTTATCTAAAGTCTTTGTTCAAAAAGCTCCTGCCGTTCTATCTCTTTTCAGCCTGTCTCGAACCTTCGGGTGTAGGCCTCCTTTAATTTACGCCATTTGTATCGATTATGTGCAATCTGCATCCACCTTTTCCCAACAGTCCTTTTTATATTATCATACCAACGCATTTGAGGCCTTCCCGGAGGACGCTTTCGACCCCATGTTCGTCGCTCAAGCAGCCTCTTGCTCCGTGAAGTGGTATTACGGGCAATATGACCAGCCCATTCCCACTTCATTGTAGTTACGCAACTAACGAAGTCTGTGTTCTTGGTCTGCTGACTCAACGCATTATACACTTTTTCAATGATGGTATCGTTAACCCTGATAGTGGCGTCTGAGTCCATGTTGGTCATTACCTTTGTTTTATACAAAATTCATTTCGAGGCCACATCGGATTGAAACGTCATGGAGTCCTTGGATCATGTCTTCAAGTACAAAGCAGTCATTTGCCAGCAGAATGATGTCATCGGCAGAACGGAACTTATTCAATCCGTACCTAAACCAGTATTTTAAAACCGCGGTCTTCCCAGTTAAAGTTTAGCTCCTACCTAATAATAAATAATTAATAAAAATATTTACATAAATATAAATACATAACAGACAGCAAGGCGTACAGTCATCGCCAAAAACTAACTACGATTTTATCTATAACTAGATTGTTTTGTTGCTTTTGTCAATTAATGTATCAAGTCTTTTATAATCATATTTATTTTATTATTCATATATTTAGTCAAACCTTTTAGTTTATTTCAGTTAACAATTGACAGGGCCTTTATTTGTAAAATTTGTAATACCATCCATTTTATTTAAGCTTAGATTCCCATATTACCGATCGAAATACATTTCAATGTGTGTCGGAACGTGTAGCGGTCGTCTTACACTTAAGTATTCAATAAGAAATTAGAATTTCTGTACATTTCATGTAGTTTCCTATATAATGTCAGTGTCTTTAGGTATTTTATATTAATGTTTTACTCTGAAGTTCGTGAAGGCAAAATTGTGACATATTTATAACGTTAAAAATGACCTCATAGAACAATTGATCCCGTAAGAATTACAATAAATGCACATTATAACATAGTCATAATTGCTTGAAGGACGAAATAGCTTAAATTCACTGAAAGACAAAAGTAAAACCTATCGCGTAAACACTGGATATTTTTAAATAGCCCTTTTTCTCGTATTGTGACTCTATATAATATAATGTATGATATTGTTCAATAATAACTAAACATTACATTTAAATAGGCGTCATAATAAAACTGTAGGATTATGTTAATACATATTTCATAAAGTTATTATTTTGTTTTTTCTTATTGTACATCTGTTTTCTTTAATCGGCATATTTATTCCCTAATCCTTTTTAGTTGGCACACAGAAAAAGCCGTCTCTTTTGTTGTTTGTTTGCAAGAAATATAAAAAAGAGGTATTTTAATACTTTACTGAACCAATAGTTTGGTAAACCATAATATTATTTCTTTTAATTTATATATTAAAAAAGTGATAATTTATATTGGCAACAAAATTAATGCAGGAGTTAATTTAAAAATATTTGATAGAATATGTTGTTTTCTTATTTTATTTTATTTTTAGCAGTTTATTCTATTATATGTTCTTTTATAAATGTTTGCCAGTAATGTCAAGCTTTTTTAATCTTCACAAAAAGATATTGAGGTTCGAAAAATTTGGATATTACATTTATATTTATAAAATACATACTTATATAATATAAAAAAACCTACGTAAATATACATACACATTAAGTAATAACTTGAAAAAAAAATCATAACTTAAGCAAATATTTTTAACCAATGTCGAGAATGTGAATGAAGCTAATAATATTATTATTCTATCTATTATCAGATATTACTTTATTTAAATTCTTGTTTATTTGGTAAAAAATCTTCTTAAAATTATGACATATTCGCAAATAATTACTTCTCTCGACTATATTAAACTTACCAGTAATTACTTGAGTAAAAGCACACCATTAATATTTTATTGTCATAGCACAAATAATAGAGATCATCGCGTCGATCGGAATACAGCGGCGCAGTAACGCTGCGGCAGACACACGCGCTCACGCACCCGTCGATCTACAACTGACACGTACTTACTATAAAACCAAAATGTTTGGTGTAGATACCGGGAAACCCATAGACGATGGGCGTTTACGTTACAGATGAACGTAGCCAAACTGTAACGCATTCACTCTTGCGCATCCTATATGTCGCTTTATAGAATGGAGAAAGCCCTTAAAACTTATAGGGCCTAATTATCTAATTTTTAAATCGATCGCAATCTCTTTTTCATGAAAGATATTCTCGAATTTCTCGCTATAACTATTTGAGTAGTGATAGCTATTGCGATAAACGGAAACGTAGGTAAACACTCGTATTAACATTTTTTTATTGTCTCTTGATCTTTCAAATCATCATTTGTTCCAAAAGCGACTGCGACATTAAACGTCACATGATTTCATAAATCGCTATACCATTAAAAGGTACTGCGACAGATTTTAAAATTAGAGAATTACGCCAATGGTCATCACAATAAAACAATCAACTAATCTATTGAATGAGGCTAAGTACCGGCTTTATTTAGGTCCTGGTGCTGATAACTTTTCATTGTAAACCTACAAAAAAACATAATGATAACTAAGTAGGTGCATGGCAATGATTGTAGAGTCTCTTATCTTAAAATAAAATTATTTAAATTGAATTATTTAATATTTCCATTATTCTCTACCAGTCATCCGGCAAGTTTGATCGAGAACTTTAAATGCGACGATAATCATAACGTACTTTAGTTAATACGTGCACCAAGCAACTTTATAACTTTTATAAAATAAGATGACATATTAGAGGCTAGATAAACTGTATCTTACGTTTAAAACTAATAAATCTACATCCACAAGAAATCGATATGTAAAAATACTATACCTACTGTCGGTTAAAAAAATGTAATTTAAATAATAATATTATACGTGAATACAGATTTTAATCCCCAAAATTATTTATTAACTTCATCAAGCGCCCCCTCCCTATAGTAAACGTCATACAATGTTTAATCGGTGCAACAAAACTTTTGTTTTGTTTGTAGTCGACGCGGGCGCATTTTCTCTCCCGCTGCTCAACAAATTTGATTTATTTATTTGTTCTACTTAGCGTAGGGTTACTTCAAAGCTTCTCAGCTATAACAAAAATTCCATGCAAATTAGGCGTCAATTTTATTATACTAATGCTTTCGGTTACAATAAATATAATTCCGTTTTCAAAATGGCCGACCTATCTATAAAGCAAATAATAAAGCTGAAGAATTTGTTTGTTTGATTGAATCTTATAATCTCAGGAACTACTAGACCGAATTGCATTATTGTTTTTGTGTTGAATTGTCCATCAATCTTGGAAGCTTATAGACTATATAACATCTCATCATCATTTTTTAAAGCGTTCCATGCGTGCGCTGCGGAAACGTTGAAAGTTACGCAAAAATCATCTATGACGAAATTCTGCGGCAGCATATGTCTATCTGAAATCTTATCCCAAAAAAACACACATAAAGGGAAAAATGGGAGTGGAAGTTCGTATTGGCATTAAATCGTTACCATAGTAACCATTGTTTACGATTCAATTTGTAATTTTAATTATATTCCATGTCATCTTTTGCCAAATCCATTATTAGATGATTTAAACGCAGGGTTAAATAATGTTTTGAATAATTTTAATCTAAACAATCTTTGGCGCTAATATTAAATGCATGTTATGTACACGAAAATGACACATTTCGCTGTCTCTACTAAGCACTAGATGACACTACTATACTTTTAAATCACAGATTTAAATTTTGTTTCGTTTGTTATCTTTATTTTTCCGATTTTTATTAAATAAAGTAGCATTCATTTTCAATTTTGTAGTTTTTCCAATAACATTATTAAATGGTGAATTATTAATAGCACGAAAAATGTTACATTTGGCTGTCTCTACGGAACACTAGATGACGCTTTTGTTCTTTTAAAACGAGATTTTGATTTTAATTATGTTTGTAGACTTTATTTTTCCGATTTTTATCAAACAAAGCAACTTTCGTTTAAAATTTTGGTGTTTTTCAAATAACACAATTTAATGGGGAATTATTAATAGCGCGAAAAAATAAAGTGTTACATTTGGTTGCCTCTACTGTGCATTAGATGACGCCACTGGACTTTTAAGACTGGATTTTGTTTTTTTTATTTTTGTATACTTTTATTTTTCCGATTTTTATAAAACAAAGTAGCTTTCGTTTTTAATTTTGCTATATTTCCAATAACAATATTTAATGGGGAATTGTTAATCTGGCAAAATAATAAAATGTTTTCGCTAGATGACGCTACTGTGGTTTTAAAACTTTTTATTAAAAAAGTAGAACTGACTTCAAGTTAAAAAACGTGAAAAATAATACTTATCTTAAAAGCATTGAAACATTGAAGTCGGGTTGAGGTTTTCTATAGTTAATTAAGTATTAACCGCGGTCCATTTTTTCATAAAAAGTTTTTATTTCATGCATTTTAGTGGTATGCATGAAATAAAAACTTTTTAAGGTTGTTTGTTACCTTAATTATTAAGTTTTAACGTAACAAACCTCACTCATACTTAATGCAAATTTAAAACTTATATGGTTTTTTCATATCTATGCCAGATTTGGACCAAATTAGAATGGGACAATGGCAAGAACTAACTTTGAAATAAAAAAGTATCATCAAAATCGGTCCACCCAGTAAAGTTATAAGGTATCAAACAGAAAATAAAATACAGTCGAATTGAGAACCTCCTCCTTTTTTTGAAGTCGGTTAAAACTGGTGTGGTTTGTTGTTTAACTGAGAACTAGGAAAAAAAAATAACTCAAAATCGTGGCCTGCCTAATCGATGTTTCTAGATAATAAAATTACCCCACAAATTGATTAGTAATCAAAACTGTAATTACTTTTTTTTTAAGCAAATGAATTTTCATATTTGTAAAAGCGAGACAGTTAAGGGATTTTTAAGTTTGTATTGGGGAATAAGTAAGGTAGATACATATAATTAAATTCTTTTTATATTTTAAATATCACGAATTGTAAAATTTATCTAACTGTTCAGTGATTACTGAACAGTTACGTTCTAGAGTAACTGTCAAAAAGATTTTATACTCCATTCATTATATATAGGATTAGACAGAAGTTAAATAAGGTTTTTTTTAAGGTATACTTTGTGACAAAATATTAAAAATCATGTTACTCTTAAGACTGACGGCTAATTTGCTACATATCCACTTAAATACCAGCTGCTACACTTAACAGTTGTCGTTTAAGCTACCTGTTAAACAAAATTATGAGTATTTTACTAACTTAAAAGATTTAATAACTTTTACAATAAAAAGTGTTCATCTTAAAGAACCTAGAGAAGCAGGGTTTGATACTCTCGGCACGATTCTCATGTCACTATTACTGAACTAAATTTAAAACGTTGCCTAATCCCTTCAATCGTTTCGGTAGTACAGCTTTTTAATTTTGTCAGATTATGATGTATACATAATAGTCAAAATACGTAATTTGGGATTCTCATTAATTGTGAATTTTATTGCCCTTCTTGTTGTTTTATAGTATTCCGTGATTGAGTTGTTATTGTATTATTGTTGTTCTCTTATAGTTTTGTTTTAGTTGTTATCTTTTTGATGTTAAGTTTTGCTAAATATGGACGATTTCGGTGCAGGTCCGAATGGCCTACAACAATTACCTTTGACATTTCAGGAAGTTTTTCCAATATCTTAAACAATAATCTAATAATTTCTGAATAATTGTTATAAAAGTAATAATAAAAATTTCATTATGTTTAACTTTCTTTCCTGGGCATAAATGTAACTAAATTCTATTCTAATTATACACTTACAATTAGAATTTATCAAAACAACAGATAGATACTTATAGTTCCATATTGGCTTGGGAGTAAAAGATGAATTTAGAAAATTCTAGCCTCATCGAAAAAGAAAATGGAAAATTGCCCAACTCTTTCAGACTACTTAACGTTCAAAGTTTCAACAAAACTATTATATATAGGTAATTTTGAAATTTATCTTGAAAATAAAATGTTGTGCACTGCTGCTTCTGTGATCTTCTTTTTTCTAATGTTATAATGAATGGAGTATAGATGTTTGGAAAGATTATAATATAAATATGTGTAAAAAGTGGGCTGCAGGGCGCCAGAGTACTACTTGCACTCGGGCGCCTATTGTGCTTAATACGGGCCTGTACCTGTATTTCAATAATTTTTACGTTACGTTTATAAAATAATTACCTATAAGGTTTTTTCGCTTTCCAAAACTATTTTAATATTTTTTTTTTACTCACGTTCACAAGTCAAATAATTGTAAAAACTACAGAGTTTTCAATTATTTGGATCCACTAAAGTAGTTGAACATTATTTTTTTTTTGTGCTTAAATAACGTGAAATACTGTAATTAGCTTTATCTACACTCAAATCGAATAATTCGAATTACGAATTCAAAGACGATTCTATAAATACGCACTTAATAAACGCATAAACATAAAATTAAAAATAAAACTCGGCTTCGCCTCGTGCGATAAACAGACTCTCGTGTTTTAATACCCCTTCTTATATGACAGTTGCATAAACTACTATTTTTAATGAATAATTAGCCTAGAAAACCGGACAAGTGCGAGTCAACTCATTCACGAAGGATTCCGTACCGAAAACGAACAAAAAATCACGTTAGTTGTATGGGAAACCCTTTGGGTACGGAACCCTAAAAATGAATTTATATTCGACGGTCGCATCACTTGTCTTGTTACTTGACAGTTTATGAACCCGAGGTGGTCCCATATACATTTTATACATATACCAAATTATGTAAACAGATAGTATATCAGTGATAACGCGTATTTTCTATTCATTCAAATTTGGCAAGGAAGAATTTCTATGTTCAAAGATTTCTTAATGAATTGCGAACCAATTCCTATCAAGGTAACTGTTGCCGCGATTTTACCTGTGTAAATCATTGCCTATGTCCCCTGCGTATGATGTAGTTTCCCGTAGATGAAAGAATATTTAAAAGCGGTCCAATAGTTCCGGCGCCTGATCAAACAAAGGGCTACAAGTTCCCTTGATCTATTCGTAAATTGGGATTGGAGGGTCAAATGCCCTCCCCCTCTACCAACTAAATGGTTGTTGTTAAAAATTCAAAGGATACTGTAAATAAATTTTTCTTTTTTCTAAATTCTATAAGTTTAAAAAAGACTTAACTTTTTATACCTGTTTATGAAAGTCTATCTAATAGACATAGGTAAATACTCATGGCAAACAAGGCTGCACTTCAGACTACCACAATATGTCAAAACTTGGTAATTTTGTATTCTACAGTCAATGTAATAAGGTTGAAAATAGAATGGAGAAATTTGACAGTTTTTTATAACCGGACGTGCTATTATTGACTGTACACACAAACGTAAAATTACAATAAGGACCTCTGACAGGGTTTGTCCGCCACTGCGAAAAAATTTTCTTTCTTAAACTTGTTGAAACTTTTTTTATATACTTATTTAATAATTTTTAATGTTACCAATATACAAAAAAATATGAATATATTATTAAGGATCATATTAAATAACAACCTACAGAAAAATTCCATCCATCTTCGATATCACTTTTTTTAATAATCAAATCGCATTTAAGATGTGTATTATTTTTCACTTTTTAACAGCTTGCTTATTGTCGTTGGGGGGATCAGTTGTGTAAAGCAAATAAACAATATATTCAATATAATTAAATATACAATAGACATAATATAAAACTAAGTACTGGTTGTAGTTAAGCAGTATTAAAAGTTGGAGAAGAACAAATTATAATTTTTCCGAATTCTTCAAATTTACTTTTAAATGCAGCCGAAGTCACGGTCACAGCTTGTGGTAAATAAAACAACGGCGTTGAGTGCGTAACAATATTTATTATTTATAATGCATTATCCTAAATTATATATGTTATCCGGAGAGATCCCCGTGGTCGAAAAGGTCCTGGTCGTATAGTGCAGCCCGAACGGTGCGACCCCCGAAATATCGACCGTTGAGCGCGCCCGCCGCCGCCGCTGCCTCTACACACGATATCACACAATTCAGTACCATTCATTCAGTCTATATCACTAAGGCAATTCCGCTAATGTTAGCATAATTATGGAAAGGCAATAGCGCTTCAACTTCAACCTTTTATGACATAGTTCTTGTTACTAGAGCACATAATAATAAAATCACCTGTCACCATGGATAGCACAATGGCAAAATACAAGTAGTTGAGTCTTCTTTAACATGCTATTGTAACGTAAACATTAGCATTATGGATTCGAGGCCCAGGAGTTCCCACCCGGTGCGGCGTTCTTTGATATCTCTAATACTACATCGTTCTCTTTTTTAAATAAAACGTCAACTTTACGTGTGAACAAAATATTTAAGAAAATATAAAATTAATGATTACTTTCGCTACTTAATGATTATTTTGTCAACATTTCATTAGTTTGTTTAATTGAATTAAAATAAGTGTTTATAAATAATATGCTTATTTTTAATTTCTAGTTAAAGTACTTAAACTTCAAAAGCAAAAAAAGGTTGGGAATCCCTGGTTAAGATTTATATTAAGCACTTGAGAAACTCGAGAAATGATGTTATTGATTCTTATATTAATGGCGGAAGACTAATCCTAAGAAAAACTGGCAGAAAAGTCAGCGAGAACTCATTTTTGAAGATATGAAGAAAATTTCGATGCAAAATCATAAATCATTGAAATAATACATTAATACGTAAGAAGATAAATTATTATAAAAAAAAAAATAACAACATTCTTTTTTGTTTCTCGATGTTGGATACATATTTAATTTAAATAGAGGTCCACATGATCGAGTGTCACGTAATATCTGTAATATACAGATATAACAGAGAATACATATTAATAATAATATTACGCTAGTTTCATTAGGTTGGAACTCACCTTCGGATTCATTGAACTGGACGAATATTTTGACGTTAGCGTGGGCGGGGTCGTCGTCTTCATTCTGTCTCTCGTTATATATCACCAGGCGCTCCACTTTACCCCACTTTGAGCATTCCTCCTGCAAAAAAATAATTGATCGATCATATTTGAATACAATAACATAACCTAATAATCACAAAATTGAATATGAAATAAAAATAGTATAGAAAAAAAATGTTTTTTATTAAAACTAAATTACACTATTTCTTTTTCGATCGCTACATGTTTTGACAGATAATGAATGAACGATATCGTTAATTTGACTTTAATTGGAGTTGCAATTATACGTATTACTTCGAAAGCTAATAAGAAATTTTTAACAAAAAATGCTAACTGCAATCTTTCGTCTACTTTATGTAAGCTTTTTATTATTTTTCTTGATCATTCAAATCATCATTTCAAAACGATTTGACGTTCAATTATATTCAATTATATTGAGAATAGATTGATCCCGCGTGCATTGTGTCCTGCACACCAACATGACTTGAAGCTGTAGTGCTTTTGCATGAGGTTCAACGTACCCAATGTCAAAATTGTTAAAATTAAAATTGCAAGTGTCATTGTTAATGGAAATTAACTATTGATCAATAAAAAATATCATTACCATTCGCATAATGTCAAATAAAATGTTAAAATAATTAAAAATATAGAAATCACGTCAAATATGAAGAAGAAGACTTCAGAAACTTTGTACAACAAGTAGACTTGGGATACAATTTCAAGAGCACGTGATCTCCACGTCGAAATAAACGCAGTCTAAAAATGATTGCGCAATACTGACCCTACACGTCGCAATGGAAAAATAATTAAGCTCATACAAACATTCGCAATTTTCAATGTTAGCTCTAGAAGATTAACTATAAGCTTCAATATTAGCTCTAGAAGATTAACTTCATTGCGCAATTAAATTCGTCGTCTAGAGTACGCCTAGGAAATATACCTGTATCTCGTGGTGCAGCGCATCGTCGACATCGTGCGCTGCGACCATATTACAGAGCAGCAGCGTGCGCGAGGCGCGGCGCCGCATCAGCCGCTGCATGACGAGGTGGCGCGCCGACTGCCCGCTGATGGACAGCGACTCCTGCTGCTGCAGCGTGTCCGGCGACGACTCTAGCAGTTTGCGCTGCAGCGCCGCCTGCGCCGCCACGCCCTCCGAACCGCCACCACTCTCGCGTCCGCCACCGCCCGCTTCCGCGCCCGCCTCCTAACCGGACCGGTATCAGTTATACAATCCGTAACGGCTAGTTTTCACGTAATTAAGTAGTAAATGGATTTCAAATTCAATTAAGTCACTAAAATTTTTACTTATTACTTATTTGTGTGTTTATACATATTTAATCACTTAAATGTGCATGTTGATTCTCGCAGCTATACAATGTACACATTCGTGTGTTCATGTGTGTGTATTATCAATGCACTCATGTGTGGCATGGATGTGGTGATGTGTTGGTTGCGTTGTGTTATATGTCCGTGTATTTGTCAGTTTCGGTATGTGGTATCTATATATTTATAAACGTATAAACATAAACATAAATAAGAACATATAAGAAATTACCGTGTGCTTGATATTGCCTCAAATTTTATATAATGAAGTACTAAATGAGTGAATCTGTCTCCTTGTGCGGGTGTGTTTTTTGTATTTATTATCTTTTATTTGGATTTCATTTTTGTAATTAGTCGAAAAAGTTAGCTATTTTTATCAGTTGTGTAACTCTGTAATTGGCTTAAGTTACTTTCGCATCACATTATTATAGTATGTATTTATAAATAAGCTGTGGAGTTTCTGAATAATAAAAAAAAAAAAAATTAAATTAAAAATCTATTTATTACTTAGCTACTTAATTACGTGTAAATCAGCCATAATGACTGATAGTAGGTAGAAATAGCTTAATTTAAATTTTGTGCAATGTGCAGTATGTGTGTTTACACATACCTAATCACTTAAAATTAACTTCTAATTAACATAATACTTAAGTCACTTAAAATTTAATTTTAAAAAATTTACTAACAATTTAGTTGGCTACTATTCCTATAAACCAGCCATAACTCGAAACTGATCTTAAGCCGACGTTTTTATATAAATATCTCGATGACGCGTTGCCAGCTTCCTGCCATATCTATATGTGATCGTTAACTATAAATTTAACGTCCTTTGGCAAAAAAAAACAAACCCTAAAACTGACTTAAATGGTTGTAGAAATACATCAATTCCATTTTTTATTAGTAGTCACGCGTGAACTCAACGATTTTTAAGTCTACAAAAAACTACTCATGTTATCCTAATTAAATTTTCATGGAACCATTCTGAAATATGACACTCATTTATAAATCAACTCAAATCACCTCCCATCACAGACCACCGAAATGCCCAAAAAAATCTAGAATAATCTTAAATATACATGTCTTCATCGCTTCAAATGATTATTTGTAGTTGCATTATTATAATAAAAAACTGTTTTTAAAATAACAGCAACTCGGTTGTCGATTTGAATTAATATATCTGCATACAACTTATAATATTAGTAAATATGATACAAGGGAATAAATAAATATAGCACTTACAAGTCTGGAGGCAACGGGCGGGGGCGGTATGACAACTCCGGGCGGAGGTATGACGGCGGCAGGCGGGGGTATTGTGGCGGTGGGCAGCGGCAGCGGCATGGGCATGGTGGGCAGCGTAGCGGGCAGAGGTAGCGTGGGCATCGTTGGCATCGTGGGCAGCGTGGGCAGCGGCAACGACGGCAGCGCGGCGGCGAGCGAGGGCAGCGCAGCCGCCGGGGACACGCCCAGCGCGTTCAGCTTGGTCAGCCCCAGCGCCACCGCGTTACTGGCCACGGCATCCATCGCCTGCCGCAAAAATAGCACAAGTAAGTCACTCCTGTTCCTCCTTGTGTTTTGGAGTGCTCAAAAACATTTACGACATAATCTATATTTACATAAATGTTATAGAACTTGGAGCTTATGGCTCCAACGTTGGGATCAAAGTTAAAACTTTCTTAATTTATTAAAATATATTTTAATGCTCAGAATCGGAAGGTTTTAGGGAAATTAGTGATACAATCTTAATTCTGATATTTTTAATCAAGTTACAATAGGGAATATGCACCTTTTTTAAAAATGTTTTCATATTATAATTTACATCGTTATATAACTGTCAAAAAATACCCGGCACAGAAAAAATTAACAATTACTAAATTGATGAAAATAAGAAACAATTACGAGCAGTTTAAATGCCGGAATTTTTGGCGCGCTTGTCGTGACGTGAGAAATGAGTGATTGCTTATTATTCAATTACCAAATCAGTTAACAACAAATCGATTTTTGAAAAGTATAATAGCCTTTTTTAATAATCACATTTTTTGCCAAATTGGTAAAATAAAAATTGTAATCTGTTATTTTCTGATATAATACAATTGATGTTATTGAATCGATGTTAACTTTTTGTAACGATATCCCTATACGTACGTTTTCGTCGCCTCCGCTCTGACAAGTAACATGGCGATTGAATATTATGAAATTATCGCATTTTTTGCACTTTTTAAAAATTATTTTCAAGAAGAAAACAAAGTAATGTTGACCAATATTTACATTGACTTTATTCCAAAGCAATAATGATTGTAATAAAATATATTTAACCCTTTATGAAGCAGACGCATATTCCCTATTGGGAGTAAATACATAAAAATAAAAACATTTAACGGTTCTATCGATAAACCCAGTAAAAAAAACAACGTATCTTGGCGGTGGCAGCCGCAGCGACCATAGCGGCTGTGGTGGGTATGTCGGACACGTGCGGCGGGCCGGCGAACGCCTTATACAAATATTGCACCTGCATCTAAGCATGATGGCGGCGGCAGCGGCCAGTGGCCAGTAGCTGCTGTGATCATGGCGGACTCGTGCCACGTGCCAGCAAGAGCGTTATATTGTATCTGTATATTAACGGTGGCAGCGGCTGTGGTGGGCGTGGCGGACACGTGTGATGTGCCGGCGAGAGCGTTGTATTGTACCTGTATCTTGGCCGTGGCGGCGGCAGCGGCCACAGCGGCTGCGGTGGGCATCGCTGAAACGTGCGGCGGGCCGGCGAGCGCATTGGGCGGTGTGATGGCGCGGCCGACGCGCAGGTACTGTCCGCCGAGGTCGAACAGGTTCATAGAGGCGATGGCTTCAAGCGCGGCGCCGAGAGTGGCGTACTCGATGAACCCGTACCCCTTGTGCTTGTGGGCCGATGCGCCATACGCGAGTTTGCAGTACGTTATCGGACCGAACGCCTCGAACACGCTGCCGACACATAACACACTTTTCTCAAAACAAATCATAAGCAACCTCATTTTTATCAAACTTGTTTCTAAACCTCATTTTCTAAAACACGTCCTCGAAGGTGGAAATACCAAAACATCGGCGGATCGCAGTGATTTAAAACCGATCGAACGACTTTCCGGACAGGACCGGAATACGACTTTCAGAGATAGATTAAAAAATATACAGAGCAGGATTATAATAGAGAAGATTCTGCCTTTATTTTAGAGTGGTCGATCACCTTTCTTCAATGTTCCCCCAGATATAACACTAAACTATCAGTATCAGTTTTCATGCACTATTTCTTCTTTTCATATTCACACCACGACCGGTCGTACCATTCGTGAAGTCCGAAAATATTAAAGTTTTATGTGTACCTAATTTTCAAATGAATTTAAACTGCTTACACCGTGTTGGTCCCCGAACAGTGGGAATTTCGTACAATGGCCCGGCACAACATATTTTTTTCACTCATGCTCAAACATATTGATATTGGCTCGCACAGATGTATCTAGCCAATTTTGTCATAGTAAACCTTATGTTTACGATATCTTTCAGTAGGGACAAAGATAAATATAAAATAATCTCTAATATTTTTCGTTATTGTTAGTAGTAACCAAAATAAATGTAGGTAATTACTTTTTAATATCATCCTCTGAGAGCTCGGGGTGTATGGAGGCGACATATATGCGGTTGTACTGTTTGGCCTCCTCCTGGATCTCGTCGATGACTGCCTGCGCCTGCGGCATGTTCGAGGGACGACCCACCACCTTTATATTCCTGAAAAAAGCAATTATATATTGGCTTCTATTACTAGACAAGTAGTTGGTTAACTAAAATTGTGACAGTACGAACGCACATGGGCGCGATGCAGTTTCGCTTATAGTAAGTGAGATGGCAATACCGTCGTCCAAACCATGTAGTTGACTGTTGTATAGATACGAGTGTATCTATGTTTTAATTAGCTATTGCAATTTTCCAGTAGTTTAAGCAACATCGATCAATCAACCAGTCAATAATGAGTATTAGAATAAATAAATTATAATTATACAGTAACTGATATTTTCTTCTTTGTTTGATACTTCATTATGATTAATATCCTCAATGAAAAATGGTTAAAAAATCCATCGGCCCCAAGTACTCTGAGTTGGGACTCTGAATTTGTGTGGATTGGCTAAACATTGATGAAAATACGCTCAATGGTAACGAAAAGTAACAAGTGCTTGAAAAATTCGTCAGTCCCGATAGGTCCTATGTAGCTCAGATGCTAGAAAAGTCGCTCCAATTGTGGAAAGATAGTGGAGCATGGACCTGGGGCTGGTGGATTTTTAAAATAGCTTTCAGTAATAATATTTTACAGTATAGCATTGTGAATGAAAAATTGATCTAAATATAATCATTATGATTAAATTAGCATTTATATACTCGTAATACTTTTTATTTTTTGATGTAAACTTTAATTCTAATTTACCTGTAACCTAGTTGATACTGTTTTTTTTTTTTCCTTTTATTAGTCTGTAAGTCAGCATAGCAAATAAATCATACACTGTTAATAGCCCCTGGGAAAACGAACTTATCACTCAACCCAATGCGGATCGTAGCCGGAACCACTAATTTGACATAGCTACTTTCATGAAGCTATAAGCTAGCAATATATTTTTGATGACTCACCCCATAAGAAGCTTTTGTATTTTAACATTGATCATAAATCGAGCCCGCTAACTATTATGTAGCATCTTCATTAATGATGTACTTTAGCAATATATTCATACCTGCCCCCGAGCATAACACCGTTCATCTGTTCGAGACTGAGCTGAGCCGCCTCTGGAATCTCGTATTCGACGAACGCGAACCCTTTATGTTTCTGCGTGACTGGGTCCCAGGACATGTTGATGGACTTGATAGGCCCAAACGGCAGGAACGCCTGCCTGATGGTGTCCTCCTTCAGCTCGAACGATATCGATCCCACGTACACTCTGAAAACGTACGCGTGGGTCAAGAATCTGCGTCGAAACAGATCGCAACGCCTCCGTAGTCGATCATCGGTCAGATCTTTTCAGCTAAGACGGTCATAGGCTCGACCAGCGCGTAGCGGGAGCCTCTATATATCGCTCTCATCACTGGATATCGTCTCGCGGGTTCAACCTTAAATTGCCAATTAAAATCAGTACCTAGGTAGGTAATCGTTCCCCGGAAAATAGACGTCCTCATCGGTCATTCGATTCCGGGCTCAGCGTTGGCAGCAGCGTTCGCCAAAGAGGTGTCGCGAAATATTAAAATTCAGCTATAATTAACGGTTCGAATAACCTCATATAAACTTAGGCGTTTGGGCGGAACAGTATAATGTATCGTGTGTTAGTATACTGACCTGCACATGAGCGCGAGCGCCTGCTGCCGCTGCACCTGCGTGCGCTGGGATGCCATCTGCTGCTGCTGGTGCGCGAGAGTCTGCTTCATGAGGACCATCTTGATGCTCTGCTCCATCGCGTACTTCTTGGCGCGCGCCACGGCCTCTGCCTGTTCGCCCGACAGTCGTGGTAGTGATCCGCCCAGGATCGCCGGCAGCGTCGAACATTTCGCGCCTGGACCTGCCCCCCAGTCATTTAATACGTTAAATTACTCAACACTTAATTAAGGACACGGTAGAAAACAAATAACGATAGTGTGTAAAATGTGCGCGAACGTTACCTGTGAATACGTCTCCGACTTGCTGCAAGTCGTACACTGGCGCGGCTAAAAAGCCACCTGAAACATACCGAATTCAGATTATTTCAGGTCACACGCGCGGGGTATTATGCAAAAGGGGGCGCGACCATTCCGCTCTCTCGCGTCTCGCACGTGCTCGCGCTCTGTCGGGGGCCACCGACGACTCGGCCGACACCTAGCAATGCATCGTCGTTCTTTAAACTAAGCATTCACATCTATCACGCAAGCGGGCACTCGATCGGTCTCACTCGGCCTCTAGCGCCGCGGCGGCCCGGGCGACAACGCACGCCTATCATTCGCCTTGTGTTCGGGGACGATGCAGTATAATGAAGTAAGTACATTGTGAGCCCGGCGGGAAGCAGCCGACGGCGGGGTCGCAGCCGGCGAGGCGTCACGCCTAAGCGTATAATAACCTAACTTACAAATCTAGCCTGAAACAGAAAGCAGAAACACTGATCACTGAGGATGGTTTCGATCGAGAGCTGACAGAGAGAAAAATAGAGACAATCGGTGGGCGGCGGGCGGCTGCGGGCGGCGGCGGCGGCGGCTCGGCCCCTGCAACACACGCCGCGGCGTTAGTGGGCGAGGGGCCTTATAGGGGCTGGGCCTCGGACGGCCGAGCGGCTCTTATGGGACTAGTGTGGGCTTTCGGGCCCGATGGCGAACGATACCCTAGTGTGATCCATGTGAGTCAAGCTAGTGTCACACGGGCGCTCACCTGGCGTGAGCGCGTGGGGCGTGTGAGGCGGGAGAGGCGCGGGGGGCGCTGGCGGCGCGGATGGCGGCGGCAGCTGCATTGCACTCGTATCACCTCCCTGCAACTGAACTAACACCGTTAGCAAATCACTTTGAACCACTTTAATATGCATACACTTATGATAGAAAGAAGTGGTCACCAATATTACAATTTATACAAGGTTACGTCAAAACCTAAATACCGATTATTCCCGAAAAACATACCATGTGTTGTATAGCCTTGTATAGCCATAGCCATGTGTTGTATATTCCTTATAAAGGAGTTAATGAATAATAAATATCGAAGTACACTACCTATATCTTAAAATTTTCCTGTAAAACCTATGAATTATACTCAAAATGCATGGATAAGTAAAAAGTAACAGTTTGTCTGACGAAAGTTTCTTTTTTCGCCACGATACACGCTGCGATTGTTTCGAGGTTCTTCCACCTCTTACTTTACACCCAGCACCCATGTACCTAATGGATGAGGGATCTCAAAAGCCCCTGATGATGACCTGGACTTTACAATCTCATAAGAGTGAATAATGAGAAAATTGATAAAGACGCCATAGCTATTATTATTGGATTAACTAAATTTTATAAATTTTTGGCTGGCCAATTTTTAGTCCTTCTAAAATAGTTTCTGATCATATTTCATAGATATATGCATCATACATTTCTTGAGTCATTATTTAATTTATTATTTGCAATCTCCTTGAATGTAGGGTAAGACTTTGCTATGAACATGTTATTCCATACAAACCCCATAAAGCGTTGGGTAACACTGATGCCTTGATTAGGTGGACAATAACTAATACCTCTATTGAAATTGAGAAACCAGTAAAGGAAGTACTATTGCTTGAAGAACAACACACAAACAGAAGGGTGCGACCAGAGAGACTAACAACGATTACTTCAAAATTCCATGTACTATATGGCTGGCCAATCTCCAATAATAATCCATCTTTCATTTAGTAAAGGTTGTTCACTGTGGTGTAACAGTCATTGTGCTGAGACTGAAGTGTTAAAGTTACTACACTATATTTGTCCAAATTAAAGCATTTGCTCAAAGATATGCACGGTGGGCTGAGATGAGATGTACTCTCCACCATACCATCCAGCATCTAATGCCCAAATAGAGCCACACAAAAATTCAAATAAATGAAATAAACTTCAACTTAGGATTGAACAGGAGCACTTCAAAATTTTACAATAGAACAGGGTTAGGTATATTTTATCTTCTAAGTAGAGCTGCCACAAGTAAGTTGTAAATTGGACATAGTTACTCAATAAGGATTCAACCCACATATTGGTCAAAAATGAGATAAGTTACCAAAATGTCCATCAGGATCTATACTTTCATATAGAAAAAAAGCTCTGAGCTGTATTAAATACTTGACTTTTTTTTTAATGGTACTTACCATCCTACATCTTTGGTAGGTTCATATTTTAGTTCCATGAAAACAACTCAAGCTTCTTGGATCCATGTAGTAATATAGCAAATTAGCGACACTAATCTCAGTTAAAAATCACAATAAAGGTTCAAAACTCTTGGATCATTTTTGTTAAAAGGTAATTTTAGATAGTGAGAATACATTTGACATTAAAAATTAAAACAATAAATAAAAAGAACCTTTAATAAATAGTTTTTACAATGAAATTTTGGCTGTGCATTTAATTATTTCTTCATTTGGATCATTTTTGAGATTGGTTTTGGTAGTTTTTTGTTAGGTTATTAAAACCTTAATATATCAAAAAGGATCCAAACATAGTTTAACATTTTAATAATTAGATAAAATATAATACACAAAAATGTAACATCAACATGCAAATACAGCTTAAACTTCAATTGTCTATATCTCAAAAGTGACATTGTGTGGGACGGATCCTTTTTGATTAACTACGTCCAATTTATCGATGTAATTTTATTTATATTGATGCTATGAGTGGGACTGGTTCAATATCAAATTTTATACCTAGGTATTATATTTGATTAATTTCGCATTCACAATCCTATAGTGAAACATATTCTTAATACAAAATGCTTAAAAAATCCACTTGGTCCCTGGCACCCTGAGATGGGAATTGAACCCACTGCTCTAACCGCTGAGTTTCCCAGGACCTAACATGACTGATGAATCTTTCAAGCACTTGTTACTTTTCGCTAATAAATTTCTCTCAAATCTCCTCCATCCAATGCGATGATGATAATCATCATTTGATGATCAGATGGTAAATTCAATAATAGTAATTTGAACATGACTAAATTGATGAATTTGTATTGTTTTCTGTGATTTGTGTTTTAATTATAAACTGGGACAGGTAGGTTCGACATAAGCTCTCCTGGCTTAATTTGAGTTTATTTAATTCTTGTCATTGTCCTTTTTTGAATCACCAAAGAAGAGAATAAAAGGACAACCTCTATTGTATGTGCTATTAACATATTACGTGGATTATCCTAGCTCTACAATTAGAATCAGCGTGGGGACATGTAACTCTCAAAAATTTGCGTGAATGCAATATCATCACTGCTTTTAAATATGTTTCGTGTTTATGTAATCGACATATTAAACAAAATCCACTGCAACACATGAAGAGCATGAAAAGTCACAAAAAATAACACGGTTATATGACTCACCAATTCCATATTATTCTTAGCTACGACCTCAGTTATAACGTTGATAGGATCTAAATAAAATTATAAGTGTAATTTACTTATGAATAAATTATTACTTATTGCAAAACCATCACAAATTTTCACAAAATATAACACAGCACGACCACCACAAAAAAATATTAGCCAACGACCAATGAATATTTAAACCACAGAGGCACAGAACAATAATGATTTAAACACTATGGTCACTATGTCAAAGAGTAGACCACCACCAAGACAACTCGCTTTAGTACTAGGGATGGCTGAATTAGATAGACTGAATCGAGTACTGAATCGTTCCCTAGCAGATATAGAGTCTGGCAAGCGAAACGTGTCACAAGAAAAGGGCGGCAATTTCAAAAATTCTTAAGCAGTAAACACTGAATGTAGTACTGCAAAATAATTTTGATACTTTTATTAATTATATTTGATCTTAACATTTAGATATCAATTAAAATTATTTGTTTTGGAACATTTGACTAAAGCGTGACTGTTCTTAATTGTACAGTTAACAGCATATCAGTAGGCCTATTCACTAACTCAACTGACAACCAAGAATCGTCATCACCGTAAAAAATAGACACTTTGATTGTGTCAAAATCACTATTTCGTATTCTCTATCAATGATGAGCAATTTCGAAATGTCAATATCGGCATTCTCCACTGGACTCCATTTTGACACTTGATTTCGTATCGATAAACTGTATTAAAGTAACATTGTTGCAAAGCATATTTGAAGTCGTCGCATAGTACCTCTTAAGCCATTTGTTGTTAAATTAAAGCGAAAAAAAATACGTATCCAATATTTTTCTATTATCTGACTGACGGACTAAATCGAATCTTTTTTTTAACCCATTCGTTATACCTATTGGCTAACAGCACTTATAATATTAAAAATTCATATTTGTCATTAATTAAAAGGGTGTTTTTTGCAACGACTTCTTTGTTTTTTTGTAATGAATATGGGCGACTCTGGCCACATTTTTTTAATAAATGTGATGTTAGCCAATTTTGATTTCTGGCCCTTATATTTATAATGTGTTCATAACACATACATGTCTCCTAAGGGATTTTCATCACAACCTTTTGCTCTGATCCAGAACCACTATCTATCAAATTAAATTAGTCAATATAAACACCAGATTACAATAAAAAAAAACATTTATTTTTGTTACAATTAAGTGCCATGGATAAATTACATAATACAGGTGTCACAAAATCATCATGTTAATCACAATAGAAAATTTAAGATAAGATTTTGACTATGAATCAGACTAAAAATACTTTAGTCTGATTCATAGTCAAAATCTGTTTCTAAATATTCTACACCTGATAACAATGACAAGGAATCATCAGAGTCACTCTCTTCACTACTGTCTGCACCAACAGATATAATAAATTTTTCAAGTTCGTTTTCAACAATGCCATCTTTTAATTTGTAATCATTTTCGACATTTAAAACATGATCAGTGTATTTCTTCCAGTCACTAGGGGTAATTAAGTTAAAACACTCTATTATTAAGTTTTCCATTTCCTTTCCTGGTATTCCAATGTTTCTGCTTGCAATTTTTCTTTTTGCTTGACTCCAAACCATCTCTATTGGGTTTAAGTCACAATGATACGGTGGCAGCAATAAAAGTTCATGATTATGTTCTTTTAAAATCTCTTCAGCTTCATATACAGGCAATGTTTTCTTATCATTAACCAAACACATTAACTCTGCCTTTGTCTGATATTCCTCAAAATGTATTCCATTATTTACAAGCCATTTACGGATATCTGCTTTGGTATTAGACATTATAGGCGGTTTATTGATTTGTTTTATATGGTAGCTGGCATTATCCATAACAATTACACTGGGCTTACTTAAATTTGGTATTAATTTTTCTCTGACCCATTTCATAAAGTTCGATGAGTTCATATCATCATGATAATCAGCAGATTTGGATTTACTACTGAACACTAATAATGCACCAGGCACAAAACCTTCCTCAGATCCAGCATGCACAACAATATGCCGTTTTCCAGAGGATATCTTTGTAGTGACACCAGTTGTTGAAGGTCCTTGCCAAGACTTTTTAACTTTATAATTCTGATGTACATAAGTTTCATCAAGGTACACAATTTGCTTTCCTTCGTTTCGTTTTATATTTATTTCTCTCAAATACTTGTGCCTCCATGCAGAAATCTGGTATTTTTCTATAAGCATAGAACGTTCATTTTCATTGCTTTTAAAAGAAAATCCATTCTTAAGCATAATTTTTCGTAAAGTCTCACGGCTACCACTGAATCCTATTGCATCTTTTAATTCATTGTGAAGGCTTCTTAATGTTGGAACAATTTTTTTCACACAGTAAAATTCATTTACTTTATTCCGAATTGCACTTAAATCAAAATTATCTAAAGCAGACACTGTTGGTTGATGAGGTCGTTTTTTCCCAGGAGTGTCCCATTTTCCTTTATTAATTAATGCTTCATTTTTTATCCTTCTTAGTGTCCTTATACTTACATCTATAAAAGATTAAACACTTTGAAACAAAGATATGTTAAATGTATTTAAAAGCAAATAATGATAGACACATACATCAAAATAATTTAAATACCTATTCAACTATGAATGCAATTTATGTTTAATTTAGTTAAGTTTATGTGCATATTTAGCATGTATAACAATTACATGGTTTGATTAGTTTCATGAATTCTGTGAATTTCCTTGTTAAACAAAACATTCTTATGACATCATTGGATGTCAACAATAAAAACCAATACATCATAAAAAACCTATGTAAATATTATAGGAATACTATCAATCTATCTTAAATCAAAACAAGAAAAGAGACCTGTCATTGAAGAAATTTTTTGTAAGTACTGCGTTTCCGAATTCAGCATTTCTTGTTTTTCTAAAGTTTTTATTGCATTTATCTCCTCCATTATTGGTTGAATATCACCATCACAGTTATCTGAAATAGAGCAATATTTTATAAAAAATATCTGTTTAGTTAATTACAGAAAATTAAAACGAAAGTATCAAAATTATAATACAAAACTAACCTAAAAAAGATACAACTTTATCTAATCGTTGTAATTTCTCCATGAAATTTTTATTTAATTCAGTTTTCACTTCAGTAAACTTGTCAATCATGATGGAAAGAAGTTTCCTCGATGAACTTTTTATCGGCTTCGACATAATTTTTAACCAAAAACACAAGTTCAAATTCGCAAAAACAACAAAATTCAATATTCTTGAATTGTCTAACGTAGTGTCAAACTGACAGTTCTATGTTGTTGCCATATGAAAACGGAAAAATAGGTGGTGTCACGTTTCGCTTGCCAAACTCTAGTTTAAAAATATTGGATTCAATTTCATAATAATTAAATACAGGTTTTAGATACTAAAGATACTCGAATCCTCATTCAGGTATTTTAATAGTAGCCTTCTAGTCTTTCTAAAACTATAAATTAATTCAGGTATATAGTAGTAATCAGTTAAATTCTAAAATTAATTGTCAAGGGTTAATATCGCTCTAACCTGCTGTGTAGTTCTAGAAACACTTTTTGAATATCAGAAAGCTTAATCCATAGTGAGATTATAATTTTGGATTCTGTATAACTCAAAAACGGCACAGGTTCTTTATTGTGGAACGTTAAGTGAATTAAGACTATTTTAAATAAACTAAGACTATTTTTCGAAGTTCATCCAAAAATTTACATTGGCGTCATGGAACTTCGCTACAAATCACCTTTACGTTTCTTTTATTCAATGTTTTTTCGATATTAATTAATGAATAAGAGAGACTAAATTATTGCATAGGGATATAATTAGTATATTATATTTCTTTGATTCTTTTTTATGTATAGAAATACAAAATAAGATTGGTTTATTATCATAGATATATTTATAATCATCTATGATACTAAACACTGAATATAGGTGTACCAGAATCTAATGGCAAACTAAGAAATGTAATTTGTAGAAACTAACATCGGGAGAAAAGGTTAAAAAAGGCTTAATACTTTAATTCTTTTTTTTTTTATTAAACACCTTTTAACCAATGCCTCAGCATTGAACATACCCTTGAGCAAATTTTGATCTCGGCAAATTTCTAGATATAGATCACCAATCTGGGTGAGACATAATAGTGCACAAACATACACCTGTACACTTTATTTTACTATCATATAATGATTTGAATTTTGATTGGACTGCACCCAACCCGCACTAGAAACCCCAATAATATACTACCTGTACCCCGAATATAATCCGAATAAATAAAAAAAAATAATATATCGTTTATTGCTAATTTCTACTAATATTGCAACTAATTTTATTTCACTTGTGCCACGAAATATTTTGAAAATACAATTGCTAACCAAGATTGATTTGCTTTCGGAGTTCGGAGGAGAATAAAAATATTCTTTCACCTGGTTAAGCTAGAATTATTTTTATAGAATAAGTAAAAATATTCGAGACAACTGTAATACTCGAAAAAAAAGTGTTAGTACTAGAAAACCTGCCCAAGTCTTTCGAATCGAGTAACAGATTGATACTTTTACATCGACTTCAAAAAATGACGTTTACAAACATTATCCGATTCAGTACATTGCTAAGCTTAGAGTAACTACTTAGTAGAGGGTTATTAGGCGTGCCACCGTAAGGGACAACAAATAAATCATCAGTGTTACCAGGTAGTTAAATGTTCCTCGATTATGAGGAGATATTTTGTTATTAGCAAAGGAGCAATAATTTGGTCAGCATAATTTATAGAACTGATCAGAAACTATCAACTTTTCTGCGATTTCACCAAATTATAGCTGTAGTCAACCACGTATGATGTAACTTCCCATGGATGAAAGAATTAGTAATAGAGGAACATTTTTTTATTGTACAAATATTGATACACTATCTATCATCTAAAATTAACTAGCACATTGAATCAATGGGTTTGGTTACTGAAGTTAAGTTTGACTAAATTAGAATATTCTCAAAAAACTCTAATTTAGACAAATAAAAACTATTTTGAAAAATTAGTTCACCAAAATTAAAAAAAAAATGTATATAGACAATAAAGAAAACCGTTTAAAGGAGAATAACGTACCTATTCAATGATAAAATTATGTTTAGAAAGGCAAATAAGAAACATTTTGATGATGTTGGGCTAACGTCTGTCCAG